TTTTTTGACGTTTTTTTCTCCGGACCCAAAAGCCAGAGTTCAACCAAATAAAATTAATATTTTACTAAACTAAATACTCTCGCGGTTAGTGGTGAACGGTTTTTTTTAAAAGAACAAATGCAAGAGAGCTGCAGTTCTTACAAGACTTATATGAAAAGTGCATATACGTTTATAATATATTATTACTAAATATTATCGTCATCGTTGCGTGATTATTCTAACGTAATGCGATTTTTTTTTGTTTTGGTTACAGTGTTGTCTAGCGGTGCCCACGGTGGCGGCAATGGCGATAACAGCTCGATGCTATCCGAAGAGGAATTGCGATTGTGTGGTTCAAATTTTTGCGTGATGGGAAATCACGCCATCGACAATCTGGAAAGGCCTCCAGACTCGGAGATATTTGAGATCAGCACCATATATCTCACGTGCATCGTACTGGCCACCATCATAATTGCCCTGTTTCTGGACCCACTTTCCAGGTAAACCTTTCGTTTAAATTTTTTTAGTACGATTATAAGTACCTCGGCGAATTGTCGTAGTCATCGGCGAGCGATATCATTTTTTTTTTAATTCTTGAAAACGTCTCCCTATGTGTCTTTATGAATAGCACATTAATAGTATTACTATTTATTTTTTATAAAATATACGGAATTAACCCTTTTTAAAACATTACATATATCTACATATTTATATTCGTTGCATATTAATTATCAAGCCTGCCGTGTTGCACACTTAAACAAATAACACAATTCTTTTAGTCATACTAGTGGAAATGATAATATAATAGTATTTATGCGTGTTGTCACACGAATTTAAATCAGTAGCTTTACGGGGTGTGTTATGAGAGCATAGGGTCAGATCAAAGCAACCTAAGATGGAAATCGATTTAATCGATGAACTCACTCTAGATTCAACCAAACAGTCGCAGAAAACAACGATTGTTTTTCTTGTACCACCGATTGCCTAAATTATTAACGTTTTCGATAGCTCCTGCTCGATTGTAATTCTTCTTATTTTTGGTTTCGATACGTATTGAATCAACGATAGTTATAATTTTTATTTTGAATGATGTAAAGATTTAGTGATCGAAAAATTTTTGCTATAATAGTTAACCCAAATGTGTACAGGACGTTCAGAAACTATAATAGCGTTCCGAATAAAACGATGAGGATTTCCTCGTTAATTTCATTATTCACACTGTCACACAGAACTTCTGACCAGACAATAAAATTTCTGTGCCAATTCACACTTTTGCTGATAATTGTTTGCCAATCCTCCTGTGGTGTGTATTAATTCCACACATAATAGACCTATGAACACTCACTCACACAAATACACACACACAAACTCCTTAACACCTGAGTAAAAACGTATCATGTATCTATATATATCCACTACCTACTCAGTATCTGCGTGGCCGCATACATCGAAGTGCTTGTATACAATATTTCAATAAATATCTTCGGAACCGGATAGGATATTATGTAGTGATTTTATAAGGTAAATTTGACCTCAGCACGAACAAGGCAAAACACGTACTTATCTTACATTGTATATACTATAAGACTCGTTTGCATCGCGCGTTCTTATTATCATAAAACAATACGTCTTTGTACTATGCACTCTTGTAACTTATTTTAAACATCTAATATATATATACACACACGTGTATATTATATAAACCTGAAAAGTTATTTGGCCTTGGCTGTGGTCTATACCTGATATTTCGAGCCGATCGTAACGCAGCCTGTGTTATAATAATGTGCCTATCGTAAATATTGGCGGATTATATCATTATCGAACAGTCACCTTATTTAAACCCCTCCAAAAATACGAACGTTATTTTTTGTTAAAACGAGTTCAATACATATATCAAAATATCGTAGATTTATTTTTGCTGTTTGTTTTTAAGTCACCTATCTATGATATATATATATCACTAATAGAGTGGTGTAACGAACTAACAAATTTATAACAATAATTTAAATGTTACATAATTTAAATATTCAAATTATTATTTAAATATTTACATTTTCAAAATAAAAATAATTTTTATATTAAACTAAATATAAAAAAAATCAATATATATAGGTAATGATTTATTGATTTATTTTGTGTTTGTCATGTAAACGACGAACGATAAACACAAACTAAATAAAAAATGTATCTTCATAATTAAAAATGCTTCTGCAATGATAAATACTAAAGAACGAGACAATTTTGTCGTTTATTTTCCGAATATATACTATCCCCACTTCGCTCCACGTCGTTTCTCATTTGAATTTTGTTAATTTACTGAATATCTATAATATATTATATTTTCTATAATTATATAATAGGTACCAAAATAACTATGTATAGGTAACAGAAGGTAATTTAGTGCTCAAATAATAATTATCCTATAGTGATATGTTGATATGTACACATAAAATTACTGCAAATAATATAACTACCATAAAAAAATGACTAGAAAGAGTACTTCTAATACTTATAAAACATGAGTTTATAATGCGATAAATATATATGTTACTCAACTATATCTGTATAATATATTTTTATATAAATATAAATATTATGGATTTGAACTATTAAAATGCCAGTATATAAATATAATATTTAATATATTACTTAATTGCAATTCGCAATAATAATGGTGTTATTAGTAGGTACCTATATGGTAAAACTAAGAATGTATATTATGTCGACTCATCAGGCGGCTGAAAAAAAAAATTATTCACCAGTTAGAAATTCCAATACAGTTCGAAATATTTATAATATATAGGTATAGGGTATCGGGGTACACACAAAGGGGTCTTAAATCTGAACGACCCAATTTTGATGGGATACTTACTTATTTTATGATATAATTGTTTATTATAAGGGCTGGGATTTCGATGAACTTAGCATTGTTTTCCAAAGCTTACTGTGCGATGCTCGTTTGGTCACAAATTTGTTTTATGTACTTATAAATGAGAATAATAAAGTTTATTTCACATTTTTTGGAATTTTTTAGTTTTTAGGTCATTTTCTTAATTTTTAAGGACATTTTAGAGTTAATGGAGCATTTTTTGAGTTTTTGGAAACTAAGTATGAATTTGAAATTTTATTTTAAGATTTTTACACCAACATTATGGTTTTTATATAAATATGAGAGATTATAAGTAGGTAGGTACTCGTAATTCGTATTATATTATTGGACAAGGTTTGAGTAAACACTATCCGTATTTCCTGTTAAATAGTCAGTAAAATCGACGTCCGATGATATCGTTCGACGTTCAGTACGAGTTTTGTCGTCGTAAACACCGTTTTATTACTCTAGTTAATTTTTTAAGGTCATTTTTTTGGGGGGGGATTTTTAGGGCATTATTTAGGGTTTTTAGGTCATAAAAGCATTTTTTAAGGGCATTTTTTGTGAGTTTTTAGGGCATTAAAATCCCAGCTCTATTTATTATAATATTATATTGAATAAAAATCGTGTATTGGATACTCGTAATGTAATGTATTTTATTAGAAGTTTTGTATTTTGCTCGCAAAAATATTTAATACAGGAGCCAAACATTTGATGGTGGACCTGGGTTGTATGTACCAACCTACAGGAACTTCGTATTGATGCAAAGAAATTGTGTATTTAAAATTTTTATATATTGCGTGGCATTTTGCAAACATTCAGAATGGTTAATACTAAGATCTATATTATTAGGTACTGTATATATATGTATAATATACAATAATATGTCCATTATAAACATAGGTACATAATACACACACATAGGTAGAATACCTGTATACGACATAATATGTATATTATATTATGTTCATCATGCCGCAGTGAACTAATATATTAATAATCAGTTGCCTTCGAGTTACGCGCGTTCTCTGTGAAATAGACGTCCTGCCTCGGGTATACCGCGGTTTACGAGGTTTTTTTACTCTTACTACCTCTTTTTCTGTCTATTTATTTAATTTAATTTTTTTTAAACTTTTTTTCGCTTCGAGGTGTGCGTGTGCACTAATTTAAATTCACTATATACAATTTATTATATATAATATACCTATATATTTTGATCACGCTTTTGATTACGTCCGCGCGAATCCGGAGTTCAGAGGTGATCCGGGTATGATGAAAAAAATAAACAACGAAAACACATGTCCGCGAAAACCGAATAACGGTCGCCATCAAACATATTATTATGAACCTAATAACGACACCGTCACACGGAATATAATATTATTATATTTCCGCGAAAAGTGCTCAATGGCTGCTTCAACGTTCGTATAAATTATGTAAATAATATTATAATAGCAGCCTTGTTACTACATATTATTGCAAAATTTTTACTCTCAATAAGTATGAGAATAAATAATTCATCGAGTGAACACTTTTTTTATAAAATCAACGATCAAATTTCACATAATTTATGATTCGGTACCAACTCGTAAATTAGTTTTAAATTTTGCATGTAGCGATATGAATCAATTTTACGATGATATGMATGTTTTTTTTTTATTATTATTACTTTTTGTGTTTGAGTACCTACCCAATAATTAGCCGAATGAATGCTTCAATTTTCAACTTCAGTATCTTCTCCGGCGGGAGAATGAATCTAGTTGGAGAATTTGGGAGGTTAAAATTTAAAATTCCCAGTAGTTTTTTCATGGTGACTGGATAAACAAAAAAAAAAAAAAAATTAAAATTAAGGTAAAACGAAATGTTGAATCCACCTTATAAGTATATAAAATTTGCAATTATTATTATTTTATTTTTTTAAATTAACGTAGATAAAAAGTGTTTGCTCTKTAAAAAAACTCGAAAATGTAATACAAAATTCTCGTAAGTTGTTGTAAATTAAAATTAAAAAAAATATGGATTTAAATCCACGATGATTTTTAATGTGTGTCTTAAGTAAACATTTTTAAAAAATTCATAAAAATCACGAAAATTCAAAAAGTATTTTGATTTAAAGATTCATTCAATTTTTTCTTTTTTATATCTAAGATTTGAAAATTAAATATAAGATTTCATTAAAGTTTGTTTACTTTTATCAAAAAATAAAAAATAATAATAATAATAATAATGAATAAATGTATAAGAAAATCAAATTATTGTTTTATAAGATTTTATTATTAATTACATATTTGAACCAAGAATTAAGGTTTTAGTTAAAAATTAAAAATATTATTTGTGGATGCTTGACACTTATAGTTATAGAGAAGTTTTTATTATTCTATTTTATACAAAAAATGGTAATTTTTCGACAAAAATGATTTTAATTTATTGTAATACAAATCAATATCAATAAATAAATGTATAATAATTATGTGTTATTAATGATTTGTTATAAATGGGTACAGTAATTTATTCACGTATACAACTATGTTAAATAGTATTAAACTGAGTAGGTAGATGGTCAATTAGTGAAAAAGTTTACACTACCTATTTAGAATTTTGAGATAAATTAAATGAAAATATGATCCACTA